AGTTAGCTTCAAAAATCAGATGACTTTTAAGTTTTAGGTCACCAGAGTTATTCAGATAACCTTTTGTGATTAGGGTGGGGTCATATTAAGCTGTCACAGAGTGCAAAAATAAATAAAAATAAAGATCTTCTGAAAAATTCTGTAGGATTTTCACTTACATTCAATGAACTATCCTTAGGTGATGAAACTATCAGAATTATTCTTCAAAATGAGGTGACCCCCCCTCCCGAAGGGTCTCACAAGGGATCACTTGGTGCAAAACCTACAAATTACATTTCCTTCCGTTGTAATTAGCTTAAATGGTCAATGTAGACCAAATTTTTTAAGGAATCGTTCATTGGAAATCAAAGCTTTTACTCAAGAAAGGGCTGATCTTCAGATACGGCTTATGATTAGGAACATAAGGGTCAAATAGGACAAAAAGTTTTCAAACTCATCTCCTCTGAAATGTTTACCAGAATTTTATCAACAATGGGGATCACAAATTTTACTCAAGAAGAGAATGGACCCAGGGGGGCTCATAAGGGGTTACTTAGTGCCAAACACAATAGCTTGACTGAAAGTTACTGGTGGATTTAGACAATTATTTATAGGATGATCCTTATATATTGAGGATCATAATCTGGACTCTTGTAGGGGCTGACCCATGGCCACTAGGCCACTTATATAATTATCATAAGGGGTTTCAGAGAGAAATACTTTGATTCTGAACATCTGAACATCTCCTCTGAAACTTGATTTCTGGATGATCATCAACATTTTATAAAATTGATGAAGATCTTCTCTGTAAGGTACTGGTAGATGAAGACCAAACATTATAGAATGATCTCCTCCTTATAAATGATAAATTGTCATTTTTTAATAACTCTTACATCCAAATGTTACAAAAGTATACTGTAATACAGACTTGTAAAGTTTTAAAGTTGTCTTCGTTTATTAACTAAGTTAATTGTATATAAATTCTCATCCATAAGAGATGTTTTTAATGTTTTTTGATGTGGAACTTGTCAAATACATTTTACAGTAATGTAACATGTCCTTAAGTATATTGACTGTTATTTAAAATGGTGAAAACTCTGATTTCGAAGAAAAGCTGTTTTGTTTTTGCATAACATAATACCTCGCTAACAAGTAGAACATAATGTTCCAGTACTCTGTGTGACCTTCATTCAGACATTTTGTAAATTGAATTAAGTAAAATGTATTTGCGGTTAGGCTTTTTAAAATCAACTTTATAGATTAAATTTACCCAAGTAGTAATTTCAGATCTTGTGAGGCATTCCTGTAATGGGTAAGGTTTAGTTGTTCCTATATCATATTGCTGACTTAAGGAATGATAAAAAGAACACATTTTTATGTAACAAGCTGTTGCTTTCGGAGGATTTCAGTAAATCATTGTACCATGATTGATGTTTTGGAAATATCAAACAGTTATCTTATTCATCTGCTGCTGTTCAGTCGAACTTTGATACAAATCTGTCTTGTAGGATCAAGTTATAACTATAAAATGTTCATAAATTGACAAAGTTGTTCCTCTGCTGTATTTAGACCCCATGTCTGATCGAGTCATTGATTGTGCTTTAAGACAGTGATGGTGTAATGGAATCACAGTCGGTAGCATTATCATCAATTTGTTACAGCCCTATTGGCTTACTGGTTCTATCCAAGATTAAAGAAAACCTCTTTGATACATGATTAAGGTTTGACTTTGTTCTATCCCTATGGTTTTTGTAAGGAACAGCTAACATACCTTCCTGACAAGTATTACCTGTACAGCTAGATATAGGTGTCCTTACATACACATCACCGCAGGTTGTAATAATCTTGTACCATGTTTGATATAAACAGATTTTATTACATGTAATGCTTCATTGATATTTTGGGCATGATACAAATTTACCATTCTTACTCATGTCTTTCTTACATTTCCAACTCTGCAAATCTGACAGCTAGGGAGGGTACTTATTTAAAGATATTATCATTTAATTTCCAGTCATAAACAAGGCTGAATTATCCAGCAGGGATTTTATCTACATGTTGTAAGCAAATATTTATTCTAATTAGAGCTTTAGAAAGAAAGAAAAAAAGGTCAAAAAGATGATTAGAAAAAGACTTGAGTGCTATACCAAGGATATTCCAACTCACACATACAGGCAACTTTGTAGTTGGCTTGTGTTAAAGGGTTAAACTTCCTGATAAGTCCATTGTTATCTAGTCGGTGTACTACACATCATTAGCAGATACACAAATCACAGGGAAATTATTTCAATGATTCAGCCCTACTCTATGCAAAATTGTGAGTTACATCAACTATTAGAACATTATCTCTGGTTATTATGGTAATTATACCCCCTCCCTCTTCCACTTATTGAGGGCAGATATAGTGATCCATTTGTCAGTGCATCCGTCCAGTAAAGCATGCATGCTATCTATATTGGTAAAAAAAAATGGAGGCGGGAGGGGGATAATTGAGCCTCAGCTCACTTTGTTTATATTAAACAGTTTTTGTTTTATTCTATAAATAGCTTTATAAGAGTTTTGATAGATACTATATATTTCTCTACAAAGTCTCCCAGTTACAATTTCATCCATAAAAGATTGAAATGTGACCTTTTTTCTACCAGTTCTGATATTTATTATTTTTCTAGATTTCCACAATATTTCTTCTAGTACTTTGTATGACTATTGTTCTATTAAATTGGACAGTTAATATTCCTCTACAGAGTCCCAGTCACTGTTGGAATAACTTTTCGTATGAAGATGATTTTTCCTCTCGACTTTAAAACTTCATGAAGCTATAAGTCAGCAATATTTTTTTGCTATTTATTAAAACATTCAAATAAAAAGGTAATTATTTCACAACATGCGCTGACAAAAAACGTCGATTTTTTACTTTGTTATCTAGCCTTTCTGCTGGAAAAAAGCCTGGAGTGCTTTTTAACAGCAGATAATGAAGATTTCATTGCCTATTTACTGGAAGTTTACAGCCGAAACTAATCAAGTTAAATTTGACAGCAGCCAAGCACTGTTCACTCCTCCTGTTTCACATGTAGCTGACCCGTACAACCAGTGGACTGGCTATCGTGTTTCTCATTTGTAAAGGATTTCATTTGATCATCATAAACATGTTGCTTGTGTTAGCGTGTGTGAGGGAAAGAGGAATGGGAGGCTGCCAGAGGACCTGATAAGGGTCCAAAATAGAGGGTTTCTCCTATTTGTAACTAGAGTTCTCTACAGGAGCTTGTATCAGGAGTTAAAAGGATAATCAGGATTTTGTAGTGATATGTATTGATGAAAGAAATGTCATTGAAGATTTTTTGGTTTCAGTGGTTTGTGCCAGCACAACTTTTCAATTGTCAGGATTTAAATTAAACTATCTATTTTACAGCAGTTAAGAAACACGTTCTATCCGCTTGTATTAATCACTCTTGTTGGCCTAGATGGTAGCATATGCAGGGAGTCTTAGTATTGGACCAGGAAACTGGACTACCAGGGAAAATCCCACATGGTCGGGCAAGTGATCATGACCACACATGTACTTTTTCACATCTGATTTCAGAATTAAACTGGCCATCCTGGCCACCACTGCACCACCCAACTGTACTCAGGTGGTCAGGTCAGAACGGTCAGAACTGTCATACTCCCCACAACGTACATAGTGTTCCTTGACGTGCAAGCATTTCTTTTAAACCATCTGTTTTAACCATATACTCAGAACTTTATTATATAAAGTAGAAGTTCCTCAAATGAGTCCCTATAGCTAATATGGTGATGAGCACCAGGGTGGGGTACATGTATCTGTGAGAACCACACCCTGGCCATCTGTGTAAAGAAATGAACAATGGCTTCAACATATTGCACCTATCTATCCAAATATGTTAGCTTTTATGAAATAATCCTATTACTGCAGTACATTGTATTTGTAATTATGATAAGGCACTTAAAGATCGCTGCCCCATTGCAGGCAAAACACAGGAGAATTCCACGGTTGTGTTTCAAGCACATAGTAACCTCCCCTTAAATTCAAAAACTATTGTTGACTAGGTAGGTCAGTTACTTATATCAACAGTATAATGATAGTTGGTCCAAAGTTTGAAACTTGGGCTTGCCCCTCTGCATTTTAACTGTCAGAATACTGTTAGTGACTTTTATTGTTTATTTCATCTTTATTGGGTTTTTTTCATCAATGTTCTGTAAGGTGTGTTTTTCTTTTCAGAAATTATTCACCAAAGCTAAAGTCAAGCCAGAAAAAAACCTTCCAATACATAGTTTGAATTTTTTGGCAAAGGTATAAGGATCCTTCAAAGTTAAAGCAGTAGTAACTGTGTTGTTAGCTCACCTGTCACAGGGTGTCTGTGTCAAAGGTTACGCCATGGTGTGGTTTCTGTCATTTGGCCATCATCAACTTTTTCCCTTTAAAGACTTATTAACAACCATGAGGTCTTGAGTTGATATTTGCCATATGTTAAAATCTTCAGTGGTTCCTTTTAATGGTTCTTGATGATGGAGTAATGATATTTGCTAAGTAGATGGAATGAAGATATATGATATGTATAAATATATGACCTTGACCAACATTCAAGTTCACATTGGTTTAATGTGTTAAAATCTTCAAACAGCTTCTTCTCCTGAACTGTTATGACAAGAGTAATGCTATATGCCAGGTTGCTTACCAGAAGAAGAAAGAACTATTAAAGTTGTTGAAGTAACTGATCTTGACTTACATTGAAGGTCAAAGGATAAAGGGTATTTTTTTTCCTAAACAAATTATATAGAATTTGAAGTTTAAAGTAAGAGTCATGCAATTTGGTTTGTAGGGTTCAGAAGCATAAGAAAAACATTGTTTGAATTATTTCAATTTCAAAAACATTCGGGGTTATATAACCATCACTGGGGATGTTCCTCCATCCATCCATCCGTCTGTCCATAGTGGTTGTCCGGATGATAACTTGAGAACCAATGATCATAAAAAGGTCAAACTTGGTGTGTGGTTTGCCCTAATGGATGCAAAGAACCCTATTGATTTTGAGTGTGGTCTGCCAGAGGTTAAGGTCAAGGTTGCTAAAAATGGAATTTGGTTTCCAATAATAACTTAAAGAATGAGATACCATACAAAGTTTAAACTTGGTGTATTGGGTTGGGTGCCTTAGTGATTGCAAATAGGCCTATTGATTTAAAGGGTGGGCAGTCAGAGGTCAAGGTCACCATTTCTAAAATGCTTTAAATGATAACTTGAAAACTTATTGTCATATTAAGTTAAAACTTGACGTTTGGATAGGCCTAATATGTATACTCCACTGGTCTTTAGTGTAACTCGTAAATGGATATTTGTACAAAAACTGCATTTCATATGCAGAGAATGGGTAGCATGTCCACATGAAACCATTGTAAAACAGATTGTACATATTTGTGCCCAAGTTTCTTGCCCTTCTTGAACACAAATCCATGAAGGGTCAATAGCAAATCCTGAGCGTGATTTACTGCCCCTGGTGGCTTTCTCATTAATCTGTGTTAAGCCCAGGGGACTTACAGGGTAGAAGTGACACTAATTATAAATATGTTTTGTTTTTTTCCAGAAATTATCATAATTTTAAAATTGATAAGTAAAGAGTGGGCTCAATTCAATGCTAAATCACAGTGTTAACTTGATGTGTTACAGATCCTGTTTGGGGATGACAACTACCTGTACCTGTTTGTGGGTGATGGAGGGGCGGCAGGAGACCCAGAAAACCGGTCCCAGAACAGGTGAACTTCAAATCATTTTCTATCTTAACTTTCAAATGTGTAGACCATCATAAACTGTAGAAGTTAGCTGAAAAGTTGTATTTAGATGTTGAAAAGAACTTTCCCCAATCTCTAACTGGATCTATGCATGTAAGCTATGATATAGGTGATAAACATGATATAAACTAGACTAACTACATACAGCTACATTCCAGTGGCTAGGGAAAAACCTAAACCAAAGTGATCATCCAAAACAATGATTCAGATAAAACAAAGAAGAGGCATGAAAGTATGCCTGACAATAGAGTGTAAAATAGAGAGTACTGGTTTAAACTCCTTGTCATTTGCTCTTGTGTGTATATATGTGTGAGCCGTTTATCTCTACCACAATTAGATACTTCCATTTCTATTTAACTAATAAAAATGTCAAATTAATTGTCTGACATGCACGAATGCTGAGTCAGGAGAACTAAGTACTATGCTTGTGTCAGACATCTACGTGTACATCTACCAGCCGACTATCAGGGCAGGAGGTTTACCACATGTCTGTTAATTGTTTGCTGTAACGGCACATACCGGTACAGAAATGTACTGATCCTAATATGTCACAGGCAATAAGGTTGTATAGAGTTGGATGGGGAAGGGTTAAAAAGAATTGAGAACAGTGTCCCCTTCATCATACCTGGCATTGCTATAACCATGCTGTTCCCCATGATGGTCCCATTGCAGTAAATGATTATTTTCTAGATTGTATAGGAACTATAACAGACATGTAACACTTGGTGTACTCCGCCACATGTCAGCAATACCATGTGACATCACGTCAACAATACAATTAGTCTGTAACATCAACATTACATGATGTATATAATAATGCAGGTTTCTGTAGTCCTTTGTCACATCAACCCTTAATTTAAGGGCCTGTCACACCTAGCCGATTTGTCTCCCCGGAGCTATACCAGAGCACAAATTTGGCGATTTTAGGGGATTGGTACTAGTAAGGCAGCGCAATGGTATCACATTGCTAAGAACGATAGTACATCGTCAGGACTTCAGCGAAAAAATTCAGCAACGGCAGGCGACGGTAGAATTTTTTGAACTTGCTCAAAAATGTCCTCCATTGTGCTGCCGGAGTGAGAAACAGGACTACAACGGCAGTACTCTGGTATGGCTTCGTTAATGTCGGTAGAGCACCGGTAGCATCCCGCAATGGACCAGTGGCTCTCTGGTGACCTCAATATGCGTTCCGACTGGTACCAATGTTAATCCATAGTACTACCGAATACCACCAAAGTAGTACTGATGCCCCGCCAATGTACTAACGATAGAAAAGTAGTTTTCGGTAGTACATCAGCTCTTACATCAGTAGGACAACGGTAAAACAACGCACCGGTACTACATCGGTATTGCTACAGACAATTTTGATGTTTTTTTCAAGTGCTTTCTCACTGGACCTCTGCCAATTTTCTCACCGTTAATAATATTAATATTTTGCTTCGGTTTAGTCCCGGCGAGGTACATCCGTAGTATGTGACAGCTAGGACCTTTACATTTCATGAATCAGTGTTCATCAATTCTGTTTCAGTATTGAGCTGTAATGGATAAGAATTACAATTAGTCAAAGCTATTAAAGCTGTATAGATATGAATTTTGACATTTTTAGGTCACCTGAGACAAAGTGCTTCCGTAAACAATTTCGACTTCATCTCCAAAACCACTGAACCAATTTCAATGAAATTTTGCAGAAACCTTTCATGGCCTAAAGTCAACTAAAATTGTGAATTATATGGTTCCCAGCCCCCAGGGACCTTAGGGGCGGGGCCAAAAAGGGTCAAATTGACTAAAATTTCAAAAATCTTCTTCTCAAGATCCAGATACGATAGAATCATATACTCTAAATAGATGGAAGGGTCTTAAGGTGCTTTATTAAAATTGTGAATTTCTTGACCCTGGGGTCTCACGTTTCCCCCTGGGGAGGGGGTAAACTTTACTATAGTTTATATAGGGAAATCACATTTTGGACCAACATTTGTTTAACTGCCATTGGAAGTAATTCAATTTAGGTCAGCATTATCAGTAATGGGTAGCAGTTTGATGGTATGTACATATCAGCCCTGACTGACCCCCTGGGGCTGATGGGTGGGGCCAAAAAGGGTCGAATTGACTGAAATTTCAAAATTTGTTATTTTTTATAATTGTAAATGATACTTTGAATATTACATGTTGATAACTTGATTGGAATTATAACCCTGAGTTGACAGTTTGATACTTTGAAAATTTTAGGGTGTAGGGTGGGGCCCAATGGAGTCTGTGTGCTAAAATAAAATTTCTTCATTTTCCTTAGAATCAGAGGTGCTAGTTTCAAATACTTTTCAGTCTTAAATCTACATGCTAGATATTGAATAAGGTGGTTTTATTGTTTTTTGTCACTTTGAATAATATTTCTGTTCATGTTAAAAACAAAATCAACTCTCTGTATAAATATGTCAGGTGACCGTTAAGGCCCATAGGCCTCTTGTTAATTCATAACCATCACTTTCCTTTTATATCAAAATATGTATCTTCCGAAACTTGAGTGAATTACTGTTATAAACAAACTGTGTTGTACTAAAACATTGATGCATGAGTTATGTGCTGACTGTCCCTGTTTACAGGTCTCTACTTCTCGGGAAGGTGTTGAGGATAGATGTAGACCGTCAACCTCGCTGGAGTCCTTATGGTATCCCGCCAGACAATCCATTCGTGGATCAGGATGAAATCCGACCGGAAATATATGCCTACGGGGTCAGGAATATGTGGAGGTGCGGAAAAGATCGGGGTGACTCGGTCACTGGTATGTACAGCGAGGAAATATATCTCTGATAGAATGGGATTTGGTGGGTGGGTATTTAGGTCCTGACAGGTGGGAATGTGGAGATGACAGTGGCAGAATGCAACTGCTAACTAGGGGAAGAAGAATTAATCTGGATGATACATACTTTGGTGCAAATGGGAATGCACAGGAGGAAAAACAAAATGATGAGGGGAGAGATAAGAAATGGATCAGGTGAAAATGAAAATGAGTATGGCACTGTTTCGGTGTAGGGAAAGTATAGGTTGTAGATGAAGACTTATATGTATTTAATGGAAGATGAATTGAGGAAATAGAGCTGCAATGATGGTAAGATTGTACAAAAATTATAAACATTTACATGGGGCATTGAATAAACATGTTGGATGTATTTAGGTGAAGGCAAAGGGCGAATAGTGTGTGGTGATGTGGGACAGTCAGCTTTTGAGGAGCTGGATCTGTTAAAGAAAGGAGCCAACTATGGCTGGAATGCCCTGGAAGGAATGTCCTGCTTCAGGACCGAACTTTGTGACACGATAGGTGAGTGCTAGGTTTACTGGATCATTAAGCAGTACTTAAGTTCTTTAAAGAGAGATAACTCTTGTAAGTAGACTTTCTTAGAGATGTGTAGTCATATTGTCAAGCTTTTTAAAATATATAACTTGTCCAGATTTTTTCAAAGAATATTTATGTTATATCAAGCTTTATAAGAGACATAGGAAAGGAACATTTCTTTTTGTAAGCTTTACCAAGAGCACAAAGCATATACAAAGATTTTAATGAAAGATTGAATAGTAGACTTTAAAAAACTAAAATTACTAAATGGAAAATACTCTGTATATTTCTATATAATCACCTGGGACAGACAGCAGATATATTTTATCCACTGTTAAGTTTGTGTGGGAATATGGACTGTGAGAACCACTTGTTATATGCCTATGACCGATGTTGACATCTAGTAATGTTGTTCTTTCAGGGCCAGTGGAGGACCCTATCCATAATTACCCTCATTCCATGGGCAAGTCAGTGACTGGTGGCCACTTCTATCGCGGGTGTAACAGTCCAAACCTGAATGGCTTCTACATCTACGGGGACTTTATGTCCGGGTGAGCATCAAACTTTAAAGATCTATAGCCCTCAGGTGTCTGATTATAATAAACTTTGATCTATAGCCTTCAGGTGGCTGATTATAATAAACTTTGATCTATAGCCCTCAGGTGTCTGATTATAATAAACATTCATCTATAGCCCTCAGGTGTCTGATTATAATAAACTTTGATCTATAGCCCTCAGGTGTCTGATCATAATAAACTTTGATCTATAGCCCTCAGGTGTCTGATTATAATAAACTTTGATCTATACCCCTCGGGTGTCTGATTATAATAAACTTTGATCTATAGCCTTCAGGTGTCTGATTATAATAAAACTTTGATCTATAGCCCTCAGGTGTCTGATTATAATAAACATTCATCTATAGCCCTCAGGTGTCTTATTATAATAAACTTTGATCTATAGCCCTCAGGTGTCTGAATATGATAAACTTTGTGTCCATTCAGGACAGTGCCTCATCACACTGTAATCATTTACAACCTCCAAGTCATCCAATAGACCTTGTTTCAGGGTGAGGATTATGTCACTGTAAAAATTTTAACATTCAGGTATTATTGTAGTAGACTTTGTACCAGAGTATGCACTTTGTCCCACTGAAAAGATTTGAAACTTTCAGGTGTCTGATCATCCAATAAACTTTGTTCCAGGGTGAGGGTTATGTCACTGTAAACATCCAATAGACCTTGTTTAAGGGCGAGAGTTATGTCACTGTAAACATTTTAAACGTTCAGGTATGATTGTAGTAGACTTTGTACCAGAGTATGCACTTTGTCCCACTGAAAAGATTTGAAACCTTTAGGTGTCTGATCATCCAATAAACTTTGTTCCAGGGTGAGGGTTATGTCACTGTAAACATCCAATAGACCTTGTTTAAGGGCGAGAGTTATGTCACTGTAAACATTTTAAACGTTCAGGTATGATTGTAGTAGACTTTGTACCAGAGTATGCACTTTGTCCCACTGAAAAGATTTGAAACCTTTAGGTGTCTGATCATCCAATAAACTTTGTTCCAGGGTGAGGGTTATGTCACTGTAAACATCCAGTAGACTTTTTTCCAGGGTGAGGGTTATGTCACTGTAAACATCCAATAGACTTTGTTCCAGGGTGAGGGTTATGTCACTGTTAACATTCAAAAGACTTTGTTGTTCCAGGGTGAGGGTTATCTCACTGTAAACATCCAGTAGACTTTGTTTCCGGGTGAGGGTTATGTCACTGTAAACATCCAATAGACTTTGTTCTAGGGTGAGGGTTATGTCACTGTAAACATTCAAAAGACTTCGTTCCAGGGTGAGGATTATGTCACTGTAAACATCCAGTAGACTTTGTTCCAGTGTGAGGGCTATGTCACTGTAAACATCCAGTAGACTTTGCTCCAGGGTGAGGGTTATGTCACTGTAAACATCCAATAGACTTTGTTCTAGGGTGAGGGTTATGTCACTGTAAACATTCAAAAGACTTCGTTCCAGGGTGAGGATTATGTCACTGTAAACATCCAGTAGACTTTGTTCCAGTGTGAGGGCTATGTCACTGTAAACATCCAGTAGACTTTGCTCCAGGGTGAGGGTTATGTCACTGTAAACATCCAATAGACTTTGTTCTAGGGTGAGGGTTATGTCACTGTAAACATTCAAAAGACTTCGTTCCAGGGTGAGGATTATGTCACTGTAAACATCCAGTAGACTTTGTTCCAGTGTGAGGGCTATGTCACTGTAAACATCCAGTAAACTTTGCTCCAGGGTGAGGGTTATGTTACTGTAAACATTCAACAGACTATGTTCCAGGGTGAGGGTAATGTCACTGTAAACATCCAGTAGACTTTGCTCCAGGGTGAGAGTTATGTCACTGTAAACATCCAATAGACTTTGTTCCAGGGTGAGGGTTATGCCAATGTAAACATTCAAAAGACTTCGTTCCAGGGTGAGGATTATGTCACTGTAAACATCCAGTAGACTTTGTTCCAGTGTGAGGGCTATGTCACTGTAAACATCCAGTAGACTTTGTTTCCTGGTGAGGGTTATGTCACTGTTAACATTCAAAAGACTATGTTCCAGGGTTAGGGTAATGTCACTGTAAACATCCAGTAGACTTTGCTCCAGGGTGAGGGTTATGTCACTGTAAACAACCAATAGACTTTGTTCCAGGGTGAGGGTTATGTCAATGTAAACATTCAAAAGACTTAGTTCCAGGGTGAAGATTATGTCACTGTAAACATCCAGTAGACTTTGTTCCAGTGTGAGGGTTATGTCAATGTAAACAGTAGACTTTGTTCCCGGGTGAGGGTTATATCACTGTAAACATCCAGTAGACTTTGTTTCCCGGGTGAAGGTTTTCATTACACTGTACAGATTAAAAAACTTCAGGTATGATTGTAGTAGATTTTGTTCCAGGTTGAGGGCATTGTCACTCTAAAGAATAAAAAATTCCCAGGTGTAATTTTGGAAGACTTTGTTTCAGTGTGAGGGTTTGGTCAAACTGTAAAGATTTATAATTCATCTGGTGTGACTGACTGTTATGGTAAACCTGTTGCTTCCATCCCCAGTAAGCTGTGGCGACTGATGGAGAATCGTATCACACAGGAGTGGGAAAACGTCGAGCTGCAAATGTGTACCTCAAGTATGTGTCGCCCTCCACTACAGTCAACCTACGAGACTAGCATCATATCATTTGGCGAGGATGAGGATGGTAAAAATACATACATAATTATACAGTATTCAAGTAGATCAAAAAATCAATTACATTTAATGTCATTTTTGTTGGTATGCAACATCTTTCCTTTTTAGCTGGGTTCAAATGATTAGAAAATATGTAAACAACTTCTGAAAAACTAAAAGGCCAAGGGTGATGATAATTGGGTTACCATGTTTATTCAAATGAATGACCTTGACTCCTATTCAAGGTTGCAGTGATCAGATGTTTTAAAAGGTCTTCAAAATGTACTTCTTAATAACCAAAAGGCCCAGGATGGAGGGGAAGGGGTCATAGACAGCTCTTACTAACATTTCCTAGTTTAAAATTTTGAAGATATTATCAATTAAAATTAACCTTTTTGAAGTTTGGTAAATCTTGATCCAGGAAAATAAGATCTTGTGAATCCATTATTTACTGTTGTATTATACTAGTATGATGAAATTAGCTCGAGTAGTTAATCAAGTGTTCATATGAATTAATTACATGCTGTAGTCTAACTGAAGACCTATTTTGCAGGTGAAGTATACATGGTGTCCACTTCCAAAGCCAGCTCTGCTTTACCCTACGGTAAAGTCTACCGTATAGTGGATCCTGCAAGGTAAGCAACAAACACTTCAAGTATTTTGTCACCATTCAGTGTGGAGGAAAGTCTATTTCTTTGTGGTGGTAGGTCTGTTTTGGTGTGAAGGTAAAGTGTATTTTGGTTTGAGCAACAATCTCTGTTGGTTAATGTACATTTAAATTAAATTCAAAGGCTTATATTTTTGTGTGCATGTAAATTTAATTTGGTGTTATTGTCATCTTTGTGAAGGTAATGTAGTTTTTAGTGTGACATTTTATGTATTTTGGCAAGAAGATCAGCAGTTTATGGTGTGGAGGTCAATGTATTTTATGTGGAGGTCATGTATAATTGTACTTTGATGTTTTTGTTTGAAATTTTGTGGGAAAGTGAAAGTGTTTTGGTATTGACATTGTTGTGTTTATGTGTGAAGGTCAGTGTGCTTTGATGAGAAGGTCAATGTGTTTTTCAGGAGAGGCAACCCTGACAACTGTAGATCTGCACGCCATGGGATGTACGACACTCATCGTGTGAACACGACCCTGTACAGACATGGTACGTCTGGGGGCCAACACTCTGGCATGTTTGCTGCCCTATCCCTGCATGTTCAATCGTCAATAGTGGCCATGGGAACATTGCTGCTGTTTGCCTTGTTCTAGAGAAAACTGCATCATGTTCCACATAGAAATGTTAGAATCATTGTTAACAGACACCCCGAGGACTCTGGTCAAACCTTTCTGAGGACAGACAATGGTAGCTGTACGTCAACTGAAGTTAGTTCATTGATGGTCAAAGAAGTGGATTTTACATTACATACCTAAATAATCTTATTCCTGTCTTTAGGTGTATGCATATAACAGCACTGAGCATGTGCTTAACTGCCACAGCTATTTTGTGTGTGTTATACTGGAGCAGTATGACACACAATGGTTCAGAGGATCATATAGCACAACCAGTTAATTTTATGTGTGACATTTCGATGACTAGTAGGATATGTACTCTATCACCATCATCAGGCCCTAGAGCAGAATCACAAGGTGAGGGCAATGAAAACATATGGATATCTGGAATCGGTCCTGGAAAGGGTACAACAAACAGTGTCAAATTAAGAGGAAGAACAAATAAAGAGGTCAGGTGGTCATCCTGTATATAGAAGGATTATCTGAAACTCTTCGGAGGATATATCATGGCTCTAGCATAGCATCAGCCATGAAACCAAACAAGATGCTTTGTGATATCCTTGAACACTCCAAGAACAAAACAATTAAGGAATAAATGATGCAGAATGTGTGTTCAAAACCTGAGATGCAACAACTGTGACACATCATCTATCAGAAAAACTGAATGGCAAGTTTAGGTCCAACTAGGGAACTCAAGAAAGATTGGAAGACCCTAGAAAGAAGGAAATGTGCCTGATCAGAAGGAAGCATTCCGAGTCTCAGATCAGTAAATCAGCCTTAATCAGCTATCAAAGACCATGCCACTCAGCAAAATCATGTTATTCACTGGGATAACTCTTAAGTGTTTGACAGAGAGAGCAGTCTGTTCATGTGGCAGATAAAGGAAGCCAACTAGATACACAGCAGTGGGCCAGCTCTGAATCGAGATGAGAGGGCTCATAGATTCTCGCACATCTATAACCAGGTATTAAACAAAACATAGCTGGTGACTCAGTTTGTCGATTTGATTGTCATTTCGTACATGTATGACAACTAAGTGTAGTGTAGCGGAATTGACAGCAATTATTGCCCCAAGTCATACATGTTTTACAACTTTCTGTACGTATACGCTTTCTCGGTCATTTGTCTAATGAAGGTAACAGAGAACACATCATACTAGTCATCGAAACCTCACTAACAAACAATGGTTGTGCTATTTGAACCTCTACACAATCCACACTTACCAACCGGAAAAAAATGTTTAGAAATGGCACACAATTTTTTTGAACTGGACATACCTTGCTTTGCTGAGCCATCTGCAGGAGATTTATACTTTTGTCAAGCTTTTTACTAACTCTACTCATTCTTGTAGCTGTCAACATGGCAATATGTAAACCATTTTTCTGTTAAGAACTTGCAGTCAAACCTTGGAAAAGAAATAGGGCCATCATTATCATCAGAAATTTCAAATGGGCTCTGTTATCTTAACCATCATTATGAGATTATCATCAGAATAACTTTGTAACAGGCACCAGGGTTTTGGATGTTCACTGAGAATTCATGCAAAAAATAACTTTTAAAATCTGGTATCTATGAATTTAGTTATAAGGTTTGACTGTTATTTTGAATATATATTTTTTAGTTAGAATTTGAATTTTATTTCTGTGATTTTTTTAGTAAAATTTCTAAAGTTAGTCTTTCATTGTGATGTGGTCCTGCCAGATTAACGATATGATGTATATAACCTTGTTTTAGCTCCTTGTCATTTTCACTTATATATAGACATACTCATTCTTGCAGTTTTTCGGTCACCTGAGCTTTTAGCTCAAGTGACCTATTTGCTATCTGTCATTGTCCGTCGTCCGTTAACATTTTACATTTTCAACTTAAGCTGAAATACTGTCAAAGGGATTTCATTGATACTTCATGGGAATGTTACTGACATCTCCCTGACCAAGTGTTGTTATTTTTCGGGTCGATTAGAAATCCAATATGGCCGCCATTTTGAAAAACTATTTCAAACTTCAAAGTCAAGTTCTACTGGGCTGATTTAACTGAAACTTTGTAGGAATGATCGACTCATGGTCCTGACAAACTAAACTTAACGTTATACTTAGCTATTTTTTTACTCAAATTGGTAGGGATGATTTACATCATTATCTCCACCTCATATTTCAACAACAAAAATTAAATACTGTAGGAATCAGGTGACCGTTAAGGCCCGTGGGCTTGTTAATTGAGAGTTTTGATAGATCTGTAGTGTTACTGGAGATTTCTATGTCTGAAGTGTAACTATAGAGACTTCAGGTCTGTAGTGCTGCTAGTGATTACATGTATTAGGTCTGTAGTGCTGTTAGTGATTACAGTATTAGGTCTGTAGTGCTGCTAGTGATTACATGTATTAGGTCTGTAGTGTTACTGGAGATTGTTAGATCTGTGGCATTACTTACAACAGTCTTCAGTGCTACACTAACTGGTAAGTTCACTGCCATGTTTATTTTATTTTTTTATCATAGATATTGTGAAAATAACACTGCTTTGAAAATAACCCAAAGTACAGTATAATTAGGCTGTGTACAATATATGTTTCAAGTCATGTGATGGAATTCTCTTTGGTTGTAAAGCAAGACAAATTTCTTTGCCATTTGAACTGTACATTAATGAAATGAACATTTTGCTTTAATGCTGTTTATCCCAAAATTTTTAAATATAGGTGACATAAGGAAGCCAAATTCTATGGCATTCATGTAGTGCCATGAATGCAATTGAACTTGGTAGTTTTTCAGCAAGTTTAGCAGGAATGTATCTTTCTATGTACTCATGTTTAAGGTTCAATATGCCCCCTAAATGGCGAAAAGGGCACCGTAAATGTCAACCTTATGATAAGTAATAAGACCCTAAATAAACATCATTGTGGAGATATGTATATTGAATATATGCAACATGAATTCTAGTTATTAACTGATTCACAACAAATTTAGTCTCGTCTGAAATAAAACGCTATGGCCGATATAAATATAGCTCAATTACATTATAACATGTCAGTCTCTGTTGTAATGAATTTGTTGTTTCATTTTAATAACTTAGGTTCAAGTTCAATATATCCAAATTACATAACTGAGTATAGATGTTTAGTTTGGGTATTTAGATGACTTATCATTGGGTTGAAATTTACAGTGACTTTACCATCTCAGGGGGCGCGATAAACCTTAACACTGATTGCAGTGATTTCACTTTGAGACAGAAGGCTACATTCACCTGAATTCTGGCTTCTGCCAGTTCCCTATACTATTTTGTATGTAGTCCTCGTATATCCACATGACTTGTCTGTACAGTGTATATAACATATTCTAAATAGTCAACTCTGTCCTTAGTAAGCTTTTATTAACCCTGTCATTAATTGTTTTTCATCGGTGCATGTTAGTTTGACAGAAAATGTACAAGAACTTTCTATATGGGTTGAGTACCATATATAGTAATGCTCGGATGGGCTACAATGTACTTCTAGTACCGTACATGTATAAGTAATATGTGATTGTATTATGTATATTTCCATTTGTTCATTGTTATTTGATTGTGCAGACATTATAATCCAAACATTATTTCATATTCCCAGGTGTATAATTGATTTTCCTATATCTTGCCATATCCATTAAATGTTCCAAGATATAAATCTTTGTGAGAAATCAACACTATAATGTAATTCATCTCCATATACCATTGTCTTTCCTGTCTATAGAACTGAACTATTGTCAAATTTATACTACTGTATCACTATACATTCACTGTTTTCTTTAATTATTATTTTTGAAAACGTTACTAATCTGAACTAACAATCTTTGTATTCCATCAGTGTTTGATGTTATCTACTGTTAAGCACACTTAGTTCAAATTAATGTGCCTTTACATTACATCATTACATCATTTTAATCAAAACTAAAATCAATTATGTGACGCAAAATTTCACATTTATCCCATCATGACTGTAACACACTAACGGTGAAGTGAACTTTTATGTTTGATTCATGTGAGAATATCTTAAATTTAGGATGTTTGTATCATATACATGTATATAATACATTACAAATTACTTGCTCAAGTGCACTTTTTTGAAAGTGTTCAAAGCATTAAATGAAAATATTAACTCCATGCTTTTATAAAAGGCTAATTCATGTGATGTTTTGTGCCTTGTCTTGTAAGTTTGTAGAACAAAACAATAGCACAGCTGTAGGAGTTACCTAACATACAGTACATATCCTCAATTGGCAGAGTTAGCAACACAAGAGCACTTCCCATATCTAAAGAAACAACAAAAATGTCTATCTTTATAATAGGAACCAGAACCTCATCTAGAATAAACCCGTCCCAAACAGGAAGGAGATCTCGAACATCACAATCAAGATCAAGATCAAGGTCACGTTCAAGATCAAGTTCAAGGTCAGGGTCACGTTCAAGATCAAGGTCAAGATACCAAAACAGATCAAGAACACAATCTAGACGGAGGCCACAACCTCCAAACCAATCAAAAACAACAGAAACCCCCATAATGTCAACAACACAAAGAACTTCCAGGCCAACTCATTCAAGGCCAGCAGTATTACCAAGAAGAACAACAGAAACACCTGAAAGGTCAAGGTCAAGGACACAGACACCTCCTAGGTCAAGAACAGAATTATCTTCAACAAAAGGATCAACATCACAAAGAAATCAGTCTAGATATACATCTCCCTCCCAGTCAGCGCCGAGTCAAATGGCTGAAGATGTCGTGCAGATTCAAGCCTCACATGGACTACCACGAAGATACACATATCAGTCAAGAAAAAATATCTCAAGTTCATCCAGGAGGTCACAGGCCCAACAGCGGTCTAAAAATAGAAGTATCTCGAGGTCATCTGGGAGGTCACAGCCACAACACCAGTCAAAAAATAGAAGAAATCACAAGTCCAACATTGCCATCATTTCGCATGAGAGGTTTTCTATAGAATCTCGTACAATTTTTCGTAAGTTATGTAAATCAAGAAGAGGAAATGCTTTTTGCCTGAAGTATGGATTTTATTAAATTAAATAATTGTAGATTTGGACTGACTACGAGCTTCAGACCCACTATTATAGCTCCCGTTCAATAGGACAGGGACCTTAGCTCTGAGCAAGTGTCATCATCCCTAGACATGTTACTGAGGTCACCACATCAACACATAATTATATAGTGATTTATAGAGTAATGCCATTTAACATTAAAGGTCATCATTCTAGCCATAAATAGGACAGTGGATATTTTGTCACATCAGCAGGGTGTTGAGCAGTACAACCAGCTGGAGATTTTCAGGCAACAGCTTCTAAGCTACATTCTACGATATTCAGAATAGATGTTTCTTAAATGGAATTTATGTCTTTAAATGAACATAAAGGAGTGATTGTACAGTATATGATAAACGACTATTACTAATGTCAGATTTCTCTACAGCTTTCCACTACTAGTTTATCACTATGCTACAGGGTTCAGAGATGTGTGGTTATCGAGTGATTTTAATATGGTTGTATGGTAGCAATGCCATGTTTGAAAATGACAACAATTAAATGTTGTTTCATGTTGTTTATGAATGTTTACATTATATAAATGGCATGCATTGTATTTCTTACATTTTATAACAATCAGTGATAGACAAATCAACTACATTGCAGGGATAATCCTGGAGGGGGCCATTGATCCCTCAAACTGAAATTGACCCATCCATGTTCCAATTTTCTTTTAATTCTACATAGATTGACCCCTCTTAATTTTGATACCGACTAAAAATGGCTCAAAATGGCTCGCTGCTCTCAAATTCCAGGATTATTCCTGCATTGCATACCATGCTATTTACATTGAACTAGGTTTTACTTATTGTCATAAGAGCTTTAAAACATTTTAATAGCAGTAAATTAAACTCATTTTATTTTGATAAAAATATAGTTATAAGGGAAAACCAGAGAATGTTTTGCAACTTACATTACTTGTCTATGTAACTGTTGCTGGCATACTTTATATGTATTCGGATATTTCTGCCTGAAAAGACAGTAAAGATTTTTTTACTTTTCTGAACATAACCATTTTCTTATCTCTTTAACGCTTTACCGGTGAAGGATCATAAAAGCCTTGTCAACACCAGAACAACATCGGAGTTGACACCAATAAAAACCTGAACAAAACATCCCGACTAGACACAGGTTAACACCTGGATATGTCCTGACTAAACACCTGAACAACATCTCCTGACCTTAGACACAGGTAAACACCTGGATATGTCCCGACTAAACACCTGAACAATATATCCTGACCTTAGACACAGGTAAACACCTGGATATGTCCCGACTAAACACCTGAACAACATCTCCTGACCTTAGACACAGGTAAACACCTGGATATGTCCTGACTAAATACCTGAACAACATCTCCTGACTGTAGACACTGGATAACACCTGAACAACATATCCTGAGTGACCGAGACACGGGTAAACACCTGGATATGTCCTTACTAAACACCTGAACAACATCTCCTGACCTTAGACACAGGGTAACACCTGAACAACATCTCCCAACTGTAGACACAAGTAAAACAAAAAAACAAACACATGCAGATTTGCTCCTTGTATAGAGATAGGCACTCTGTTTAATTATAGTTTCCTTGGGTGTTAACACATGAATGAATAATAGCACTGAAGCATCCTTTCCTGATCCCATTAACTATATTGCAGACTTGTGGAGAGCAATGACAGGATGACCTCCCTTCGGGGAACAGAGAACAAGACATTTATCTATGAAATATAGTTTTATTTGCCATACATTTCTACAATAACATGTACATGTATAAATATAATGTTATGTGCATAAGAGAGTCTATGAAATTGCAGCCTTTGGCAACAACCAGAAGCACACAAACAATGCTATTGGTCTTAAGTCTTGACCAATAAAACTAACCCATGAAATGCCATAGTTAAACTATAAGCAGTACAACATAATTATATCACACACATGCTAGGTATTGTGCATAAGAGAGAAGGAATCTTTTTAAAATTTTCCTACAGATATTTGGCTATCTTCAAGGAGGTGTTTTAAATTTCCAAACACTGAATTATGTAAGACTTTTGGATTATGCTATACTACCAGTATTTGTTTTGATAACTGTCAGTAATCGCTCCCCCAGGCACAAAATTTCATGTTTCCATACAGGAGTAAATTTTCTCTCATATTTATATTAAATCCAATACATGTACCTGTTACAACAAAAATATGCAGAAGCACTTTTCCAGGACTAAAGAGTGAAGGGGGTTTAAGCACTTTCAGGCCCTCATCATTAACTTAAGCACATTTATTTTTCACATTGTACAAATTTGGTTCTACATTATGTTGTCATAGTGCAAAATAACTTTGACACAAATTCCATATTTTTAAAGAAAAAACCTGTCAAATTTGTTTTCATTGTATAAAACCCATACAATCTAGGAATAAATTTCATAATAAATATTAAGTTATTAAAATATAGAATTGTTCATAATATACTTGAGTTGGTCTTTATAAATGGAATTATACTTTGTAGAGTAAACTCTTCACCAACATTAAGGGAATAAATACCAAGTATGACTTTGCTATAAAATATTACATGTATATGATATGCACAAATCTTTGATCGGATAGATCATGATTACAAAATCAATGGTTTGTTCTATTTAGTTAAATGCCAGATTGTTTAAATCCTATTACAACTGAACCAAAAGAGTAAGAATATCATGTACAGTTCATGGGCCTATAAACTGATGTGTATAGTCCATGAACACTGGCTAGGATGTCATGTATTTGTTCATGGATCCATCAGCACTGGATAGGATACCATTTATAGTTCATTGGTCCATGGATACTGGCTAGGATACCATGTATACATTGTAGTTCATGGGTCCATGAACACTGGCTAGGATGCCATGTATAGTTTATTGGTCCATGAACACTGGCTATGATACCATGCATACATTGTAGTTCATGGGTCCACAAACACTGGCTAGGATACAATTTATACACTAGTTCATTGGTCCATGAACACTGGCTAGGATACCATGTATACATTGTAGTTCACTGGTCCATGTACACTGGCTAGGACACCATCAGCAGTCCATAGGTCTAAAAATTAACACGATGGCTAGGATCTCAAGTTCAGTTCATGGACTATTCAGATGACTTAATAATGAACCAGCAGTCATAGAAAGTACATTAAACAAAATGCCATTAAAATAAATTTGAGATAATTATTGATGCCATTCTACATAGATATCAACCAGAGAAGTAAGTTTGCAATGTTATCCAGATATCAGCAAGAAAATATCATAATTTGAAAGTAAAAAGATAGAAGCAAAGCAAAAATGTAAAAAGAAAGTGTAAATTCTACTTAAACCTTGAAAGCAGTACAATATCCACTGACAGAACAAAGCTTCATTTAGTGAACTAATATTGCAGTTACTTATGTACAGCAAATATAACTTAAACATTTGTGTCACACTAGCCTTGTTCTTTTCTCCATGAATTTATTGTATTTTAAATAATACTTGAACCCTCAGTCAACCACAAAAATCATGTTTCGCTTGCACCTTCACCCCTACCAGAAACATATAATACACAATCACAGGTTTGAAATTTGTCATGGTATCCATCTCTCGGTATAGAGCAGCAGTCACTGAGCCAACTCGTACGTAGCACTGACTATCGTTAGTGGTGACCTTGGGTCTAGGCCTTGACCTCTGTGAAGGTGACATTGTGATTGTTGAGTCTCTCTATCAGAGTGGTATCCATGAAGGCTGCTCCTGGGGGATACACACCACCACTGCAAAAGAACACACATATCTGTGTTATAGTATTACATTGTATATACTTGTTTTTGTATTATTTTATGGCCCATCAGCAATTTAAGGGACATTTGTATATACACACAAGGATACTAACAATTATTTTTTAGGCAGTTTATCAGCCATTTTTTAGGACAGGACAATTTTATATTTACTCTGGGGTGATAATCATTTTCTTTTCTCAACAATCATATAATTACTGGTACTCTGAGATTGTTGACAGTACCCTTGAGGATACAACAATCCTATCGTAAATTTTGTGGAGTTTCTCAGCCTCTTGTGGATGTAACAATCATACACCTACAATGGGGACTTTGCTTTGTTCAGGGTTTAACATCTCCACAACATTTAATGTCTTATGAAGATGCATGCCTAGGGCAACAACACCATAAAGATAAAGTTTCAACGGGGACTTTGTCAGACTCTTTGATGGCATGTTACATTATGCTAACTCTTAAGGAAGTTATCAGTTCCCTTAAGAACATGGCAATCGTAAAATAACTCTTTGAGTTCATGAGCCTTCTTGAGGACATGACAATTGTACACTTACTCATTGGGTAGTTTATCAGTCTTCTTGAGGACATGAAAAAGATACACTTACTCTTTGGGTAGTTCATAAGCCTTCTTGAGGACATGACAAAGATACACTTACTCTTTGGGTAGTTTATCAGCCTCCTTGAGGACATGACAAAGATACACTTACTCTCGGGGTAGTTTATCAGCCTCCTTGAGGACATGACAAAGATACACTTATTCTTTGATGAGTTTTTAAGCCTCCTTGTGGACATGACAAAGATACACTTACTCTTTGGGTAGTTTATCAGCCTCCTTGAAAACATGACAAAGATCCACTTACTCTTTGGGTAGTTTATCACCCTCCTTGAGGACATGACAAAGATACACTTACTCTTGGGGTAGTTTATAAGCCTCCTTGGGGACATGACAAAGATACACTTACTCTTGGGGGAGTTTATCAGCCTCCTTGAGGACATGACAAAGATACACTTACTCTTGGGGAAGTTTATAAGCCTCCTTGAGAACATGACAAAGATACCCTTACTCTTTGGGTAGTTTATCAGTCTCCTTGAGAACAGGACAAAGATACACTTACTCTTGGGGTAGTTTATCAGCCTCCTTGGGGACATGACAAAGATACACTTACTCATGGGGTAGTTTATAAGCCTCCTTGAGAACATGACAAAGATACCCTTACTCTTTGGGTAGTTTATCAGCCTCCTTGAGGACATGACAAAGATACACTTACTCTTGGGGGAGTTTATCAGCCTCCTTGAGGACATGACAAAGATATACTTACTCGTGGGGTAGTTTATCAGCCTCCTTGAGGGCATGACAAAGATACACTTACTCTTGGGGTAGTTTATAAGCCTGCTTGAGAACATGACAAAGATACACTTACTCTTGGGGTAGTTTATAAGCCTCCTTGAGAACATGACAAAGATACACTTAATCTTTGGGTAGTTTATCAGCCTCCTTGAGGTCATGACAAAGCTACACTTACTCTTTGGGTAGTTTATCAGCCTCCTTGATGACATGACAAAGATACACTTACTCTTGGGGTAGTTTATAAGCCTCCTTGGGGACATGACAAAGATACACTTACTCTTGGGGTAGTTTATAAGCCTCCTTGAGAACATGACAAAGATACACTTACTCTTTGGGTAGTTTATCAGTCTCCTTGAGAACAGGACAAAGATACACTTACTCTTGGGGTAGTTTATCAGCCTCCTTGATGACATGACAAAGATATACTTACTCGTGGGGTAGTTTATCAGCCTCCTTGACGACATGACAAAGATACACTTACTCGTGGGGTAGTTTCTCAGCCTCCTCGAGGACATGACAAAGATACACTTACTCGTGGAGTAGTTTATCAGCCTCCTTGGGGACATGACAAAGATACACTTACTCTTGGGGTAGTTTATCAGCCTCCTTGAGAACATGACAAAGATCCACTTACTCTTGGGGTAGTTTATAAGCCTCCTTGAGGAGATGACAATGATACACTTACTCTTTGGGTAGTTTATCAGTCTCCTTGAGAACATGACAAAGATACACTTACTCTTGGGGTAGTTTATAAGCCTCCTTGAGGAGATGACAATGATACACTTACTCTTGGGGTAGTTTATCAGCCTCCTTGAGAACCACTAGAGCAGCCTGCACCATACAAATTGGGGTGGTTACATATCCAATCTCTGTAACACAGGGACATGCAAATTAGATAACAATTTTCATTCAGTGTCGACAAAATCAGAATGAAAGACAGAACAGATTTATTCCTCATAATGTTATTCTTCTAAAATGTTAAAACAAGATCTGATCGTCGTTTTCAAGTCCAGAATGAGATTATTGTGATCTTACTAGACCACTGCCGAAATTCATTGTTTTTCTGACAGATACCACAATTTTATTTTGATGACTGCAAATAAGTGTTTTGAAAGAAGTATATCAGTTTGATCAATACCATAATATTCACAGCAGACATTTTTCATCTGGATTTTAGTATGGCAGTGTGGTATTTTATCTTAAAATGTAGCCCTGAGTTCAATGTTCTCCTGTAACAATGTGATGTACTACTGTATACCCGGAAATGTTCACCCTGTCAAACTTTCGCCCTTCACTGGTAAAATTCATATTGGCCTAGTGTCAATTTCACCTTTCACATTTAATTACATAAGTATAATGTATATTATGTTGTTTTCAAATGTTTCCTGTGATGATAAATTCCCTTTCAGTAGGAGGGCGAAAAGGGTGAAAATTAAACTGCAGTAAAAATGTCCTGGTATACAGTATGACTCGTGTTAGTGTTGTGTGTACTACAAAATGGTAGGTTGTGACTGACCTGGGCCTGCGATCTTGGCAGTAAGTACAGTATCAGGTTTTTCCTCCGGGTCAGCCAATGGATCCTCCAGTTTTTTGCTCCATCCTTTGGCCACAAATGTCATCTTAAAGCTACCATCTTCAATCTACAAGGATAAAGACACATTGTAACATAAAAAAGCAAATCAAGAAGGTGCAACCAAAGTAAAACATTTACATTCGACCAGCATTATTCCTATTCCTCTCTCCCCCCCCCCCCCCCAAATAATCACATATTTCTGTACTGTGCCATGGTAAATTTCACATTGATTTGCATTGGTAGCACATTCATCAATAAAAAAAATAATTATGATGAATATTATTATACAATGTACAGTATATCAGCCCGATCTTTTAACAGGCTTTTAACACAGCTATTGCTACATTTGTAAAATTTTGATGAAGCTTTAAGAAAAACAATCTTATATGTCCATGAAGCAGGTGAGCTATGCAGGCCTGCTGGGCCTCTTGTATACTTTTAAGAATTTCAAATCAATTACCTGAGATTTTGTTGGACCTCCTTTCTTGAAAAATCCAGCTGTGAAAAATGATGGATACTGAAATTAAAAGAAAATTTAATGACAATATCACATTTTCTCATTGTTAAAACACTTCATTACTTATAAAACATATTTACAATTCTTCTTATTAACAACACTTTATATTGGCAAGTCTTCATCATTAAAATGCATCATAATTCAGACAGCTTAGAATTTCAGTCTTCATTGTAGTTTGTACAACTCTACATTATAAACTTACCTTCATGAGTAAATTCTGCCCAAGACGGAAACTGCACATGATAAAGAACATGAGACCAAAGAAGATGGTTCCAATCACACTAGCTATGCCATTCCTCACAAGGTAGGGGATGAATTGTATCTGTAGTATATAGAGGTTCAGGTTTGTTTAGTTATAATATTTGTGTAGTTATAATATGAGCCGTCATCATGAAAAAGGGAGATAACTTCAGGTTTGTGTAGTTAAAATATGTGCCGTCATCATGGAAAAGGGAGATAACTTCAGGTTTGTGTAGGTATAACATGGACTGTCATCATGACAAAAAGAGAGAACTTCAGGTTTGTGTAGCTATAATATGTTCTGTCATCATGGAACAGGGAGATAACTTCAGGTTTTTGTAGTTATAATATGTGCGGTCATCATGGAAAAGGGAGATAACTTCAGTTTTGTGTAGTTAAAATATGTGCCGCCATCATGGAAAAGGGAGATAACTTCAGGTTTATGTAGTTATAATATGTGCGGTCATCATGGAAAAGGGAGATAACTTCAGCGTTGTGTAGTTATAATATGAGCCGTCACCATGAAAAAGGGAGATATGTAGGTGTAACATGGGCCGTCATCATGAAAAAGGGATATAACGTCAGGTTTGTGTAGTTAAAATATGTGCCGCCATCATGGAAAAGGGAGTTAACTGCAGGTTTGTGTAGTTATAATATGTTCTGTCATCATGGAACAGGGAGATAACTTCAGGTTTGTGTTGTTATAATATGTGCTGCCATCATGGAAAAGGGAGCTAACTTCAGGTTTGTGTGGTTATAATATGGGCCGTCATCATGGAAAAAGGAGATAACTTCAGGTTTATGTAGTTATAATATGTGCCGTCATCATGGAAAAAGGAGATAACTTCAGGTTTGTGCAGTTATAATATGGGCCGTCTTCATGAAAAAGGGAGATATGTAGGTCTACCATGGGCTGTCATCATTCCAAAAAGAGAGAACTTCAGGTTTGTTTAGTTATAATATTTGTGTAGTTATAATATGAGCCGTCATCATGACAAAAGGAGAGAACTTCAGGTTTGTGTAGGTATAACATGGACTGTCATCATGACAAAAAGAGAGAACTTCAGGTTTGTGTAGCTATAATATGTTCTGTCATCATGGATAAGGGAGATAACTTCAGTTTTGTGTAGTTAAAATATGTGCAGTCATCATGGAAAAGGGAGCTAACTTCAGGTTTGTGTAGCTATAATATGTTCTGTCATCATGGATAAGGGAGATAACTTCAGCGTTGTGTAGTTATAATATGAGCCGTCATCGTGAAAAAGGGAGATAACTTAAGGTTTGTGTAGTTAAAATATGTGCCGCCATCATGGAAAAGGGAGCTAACTTCAGGTTTGTGTGGTTATAATATGTGCTGTCATCATGAAAAGGGGAGATATGTAGGTGTAACATGGGCTGTCATCATGACAAAAGGAGAGAACTTAGAAAAAGAAGTTAAAAGATATTCTGTGCCTAAAACTAAGGGAGAGCACTTAAAGTTTGTGTATAAAGGAGAAGACATGTGTCTGTAACAGAGACAACTTAAGATCTGTGCAGGCAGGCACTATAATGATCTGTAACAGAGACAACTTAAGATCTGTGAAGGCAGGCACTATAATGATCTGTAACAAGTTTAAAACAAGTCTGAAACAGTTGAGAACTTCAGTTTTGTGTATAGTTAGGAAAGTTATATCATCAGTAATAAATGGAAAGAACTGTGAATATAAGACATCTATAACAAAGGGAGAAAACTTCAGAGTCCCATTTTTCATATATTTAAATATACAAGTATCTTAAATAGGTGATAACTAAATGTCCATTGTTTACCTTAATGAATTAGAATTGACTCGATATCTTTTATTAAGGTTAATATAAGCACCTGTTTGTAACATATTCCAAACCACATTATCATTAGTTTTTCTCTCTAATGCATACATATACATACTGACCGGCCTCTGTTTTCGGACGTCGTGTTTGTAGCGCTGTGACCGGTACACCACTGACTTGTCACTGCCCAAGAAGTCCACACAATACTTTCCCACCACCTCACTCGTAAATACAGGTCCTCTGCAATATGGTGTAAATTATATCTTTGTTCATTTTTCAGTTACATTCTCCACACAATACATAGTTCCTGATTCTTCAATGATAATAGCAATTCTATAGTTTATTTTATATTTTCCATTTATTGTTTTTGTTCCAAAATTCAACAGATATCACTCCAATTTTTTTCTGATCCAATACAATTTTTCTCATGTAAACAAGACATGCTTGATACCTTTTGAGGAGCTTGTGTTTGGATGGTGGGAGACGCTCGGGGAAGAGAGACCTCCGCAGAGTTTTTATTTCCCCAACATGTGCTACTCCGTGGACAGCTGATTCAAGCGTGCCCGTATTTAAAGCGAGTCCCTGCCAAAGACAATGTTAAACACTATTTACCTTTTGGCCAACCGGTTTTTAAATCGAGGTAACGATTCTGGAAACAGAGATTTGCGGAGAGATTTCAGTTCACCGGCATGAGCAATACCATGGATGGCTGATTCCAACGTCCCCGTGTTACCTGTGACTCCCTTAGGTGGGGAAATGATGGTAAATGCATCAAACAAGGGGAGACAAACACAAAGCAAGGATGCAAAAATATATTAAGTATTAAAACTTTCATCCAAGACCTTGATTGTAGGAGTTGTGGTATGTGTATCTATAAAGCCTGGTGAGAAATGAAAGTCAAATGATGATAAATTCTGTCAATGCAACATTTTGACGGTATTTTACTTAATTCCAAAAAGTATTTTCTATGTTATTTGTGACTCCTTCAGGAGGGCAAATGATGGTAAAAGCATAAAACAAGGAATGACAAGCACAACATAAATAAAGCATGGATACAATAGATATTTCAGTTAAACAGAACTTCACCAGTGACCTTGATCATAGGGATTGGCTATGAGGTGTTCATCTAAATAGCTTGAGGAGAAATGAAAGGCATTAAACAAATTTTGTTAAATCTTTTTTAAATTACTCCCTGTTTATTAAGATACATCTCCAGCACACACACAGGCATATACACATAGGGAGATATTAGCCAGGTGGCAAAGGACTAGTAGTTAGCACCTGATAAGGCAGCTCCTGCGAATTCCGAAAAAAATGTATTGATAAATGTATATGCTAATTGTATTGATTCTGAAAATTGTATATTTATGTACTGCAAAGCCCTTTAAAGTGGCCTATTCTAATTAGATAGGGTGCTTTATCAAATGTTATTATCATTATTCCTACACTATATAATGCAACATTTTGCAGATTGGCAATGGGACTGTTGAACCGCTGTGGGTAAAACTGATGACATATTTCCTATTTATGCATTTGGTTTGTTGAAGTACCCCAATAACAATGGTGTCATGCATGATTGGCAGAGTTTAAGAAGAAAAAAAGAAAGTATGTTGGGTACTACAATAGTGGTAGTACGTGAAAATTATTTGTCACATTTTTTATTTAATCCTCTGACCAAGCTAAACGCCTAATTTCATATATTGCAGAGGAAAACACAACTTGATAAATAATTATTTATAAGTATTTCTTGAATAAATTTCTGTCTTACAGACCGTCTGTGAAACCTATTAAAGTAAATACAATGAAATATTCCCAGAAAAAAACAATGATATTCAGTGATTCAGTGTCGGGCCACCATTTTGTTTGTCTGGTCAGCCGCAAAATAACACATACAAAACTAAGAACCTTTGAAAGTCAAAATATGGCCTTTGATAAAGATCTGTCCAGTACTTCTTGAGAAATAGTGACAACAAAATCGAACTTTCAAAATTCAAGACGGCTGTCTGGTGGCCATCCTGTTTTTTTCTATCATTCTAAAAATGAAACATGCATAACAACAGACCGTGGGGAACCTATGTTTTAGCTCTCTTCTCTCAAAATTCAAGATGGCCACCTGTCAGCAATTAACATTCTCTGATCAGTTCCAAAATTGACAAAAATCCCTCCAGTACTATCTAAGAGGTAGTCAGGGCTAGAAAATCATTTTGAATACCCTAGTTCATCAGGATAGTAGTTTCCAATTGATAATAATCCATGTGCACATTCTACCAACCCAATATCATTCAACAAGATAAGCAATATTAAATTTTGACTTGTCAATCGGACTAGCAATTTTTTGTGTACCACAAGTCCAGCTGGAGATTCCACTAGTTTCAGGCTATCGGGCTACCTACATTGTCTAGCCCTGCACTAGCCCAGCTGGAGATATCACTAGTCTCAGACTATCGGGCTACCTACATTGTCTAGCCCTGTACTAGTCCAGCTGGAGATTTCACTAGTTTCAGGCTATCGGGCTACCCTTATTGTCTAGCCCTGCACTAGTCCAGCTGGAGATTCCACTAGTTTCAGGCTATCCGGCTACCTACATTGTCTAGCCCTGCAGTAGTCCAGCTGGAGATATCGCTAGTTTCAGACTATCAGGCTACCTACATTGTCTAGCCCTGTACAGTGCTAACACACCTTAATTCTCAAAATCCGGCCACCAGTTGCCAATCTTGGTTTTCTGATCAGTCTAATTCAATATGCATAAGTACCATGGTGAATCCTTCAAGTACATTTTGAGAAATAGTGCTACCAAGAATTGTTTAAGGATGGACAGATGAAATGACGCATGGACAGATAGACGACAGATAGACGACAGACCATGAAGATGATCTGAACAGCCTACTATCTGATGACGGTGGGCTCAAAATACAAATTAACAAATCAGTCATCAAAACTTTCAATCTCAAAAAATTCTTGTACTTACTTCGGGTCCCGCCATTATCTCCAGATAGCTCTCCACAGAATTCACCTCACCTGAAATTTCAAATTGCTATAAAAATATTGTTGCACTTTTTCCACATTTTTATATGCCCACCATTTGTTTCTCTTAAGCACTATACATATGTGTAGTTACTTTTGCTGTTGGACTGGTTACATCCACTCATCCGTCCACCACCAGTAAGTGATGGGAACAGAACTGACCACATTAACTCTTTAGGCTAGAGTGTGTACATACAAAGGGAATATTATATGAAATCCACAACCTTGTCATAAAATAAGCATTGACAGACTACTTACCAGTGAACTGTTTGTTGACGAAGACCACACCCATCTCTGCAGGAATACTGTCAAAGCCACAGGCCCCTATAATGTACACGCCACTCTCTTTAGCCCTGTTGTGATACTTGAGCTGCATGTTCTCCAGGAACTACAGAAAAAAATCAGTGTCATTTTTGGGATTGAATGTTAATTACATTATATCCTATGATATTTCACGAATGTAAGTATGCAATGTTTTTCAGTGGCAGACTTCTTAGAGAATTGGACAACCTTATATTGCCTACATTATCAGAGTTATTTCCTTGCCTCATACACCAATTTTAAGTTATTTGTAAATCCTACAAACATATGTTTGTAATGATCCAATGTTGCATTGAATTTTATAAACTATTGATATTACCTCTTTGACCCATACATACATATATGAGTATATCACTAAAATGTCTGAAGCTAATCAAAAGTTATGGTTTGGAGATAAAATTTGATGATGAAAACAGTCAGTTGACCTTTAACCTTAAATAATTTGACTTAAACTTTATATGCAGGTTAAGAATGAGGTACATGACAGACACAGTGTGTAATGGTGATACATGTACATATGTACCGATACGTGTAAGAGTAATACCACTGTGTAATGGTGATACATATGTACCGGTATGTGTGATACGTGTAAGTGTAATACCACTGTGTAATGATGATACATATGTACCGGTTTGTGTGATACGTGTAAGAGTAATACCACTGTGTAATGTTGATACATATGTTACGGTATGTGTGATACGTGTAAGTGTAATACCACTGTGTAATGGTGATACATATGTACCGGTATGTGTGATACCTGTAAGTGTAATACCACTGTGTGATGATGATACATATGTACCGGTATGTGTGATACTTGTAAGTGTAATACCACTGTGTAATGATGATACATATGTACCGGTATGTGTGATACGCGTAAGAGTAATACCACTGTGTGATGGTGATACATATGTACCGGTATGTGCGATACTTGTAAGAGTAATACCACTGTGTAATTGTGATACATATGTACCGGTATGTGTGATATGTGTGAGAGTAATACCACTGTGTAATGATGATGCATATGTACCGGTATGTGTGATATGTGTAAGTGTAATACCACTGTGGAATGGTGATACATATGTACCGGTATGTGCGATACTTGTAAGAGTAATACCACTGTGTAATTGTGATACATATGTACCGGTATGTGTGATACCTGTAAGTGAAATACCACTGTGTGATGATGATACATATGTACCGGTATGTGTGATACGCGTAAGAGTAATACCACTGTGTGATGGTGATACATATGTACCGGTATGTGTGATACTTGTGAGTGTAATACCACTGTGTAATGATGATACATATGTACCGGTTTGTGTGATATGGGTAAGAGTAATACCACTGTGTAATGATGATACATATGTACCGGTTTGTGTGATATGGGTAAGGGTAATACCACTGTGTAATGTTGATACATATGTTCCGGTATGTGTGATACGTGTAAGTGTAATACCACTGTGTAATGATGATACATATGTACCGGTTTGTGTGATATGGGTAAGAGTAATACCACTGTGTAATGATGATACATATGTACCGGTTTGTGTGATATGGGTAAGGGTAATACCACTGTGTAATGTTGATACATATGTACCGGTATGTGTGAGATGTGTAAGAGTAATACCACTGTGTAATGATGATACATATGTACCGGTTTGTGTGATATGGGTAAGAGTAATACCACTGTCTAATGTTGATACATATGTACCGGTATGTGTGATATGTGTAAGTGTAATACCACTGTGTAATGGTGATACATATGTACCGGTATGTGAGATATGTGTAAGAGTAATACCACTGTGTATTGATGATGAATGTGTACCGGTATGTGTGATATGTGTAAGTGTAATACCACTGTGGAATGGTGATACATATGTACCGGTATGTGCGATACTTGTAAGAGTAATACCACTGTGTAATTGTGATACATATGTACCGGTATGTGTGATATGTGTAAGTGTAATACCACTGTGGAATGGTGATACATATGTACCGGTATGTGCGATACTTGTAAGAGTAATACCACTGTGTAATTGTGATACATATGTACCGGTATGTGTGATACTTGTAAGTGTAATACCACTGTTTAATGATGATACATATGTACCGGTATGTGTGATGCTTGTAAGTGTAATACCACTGTGTAATGATGATACATATGTACCGGTTTGTGTGATATGGGTAAGGGTAATACCACTGTGTAATGTTGATACATATGTACCGGTATGTGTGATACTTGTGAGTGTAATACCACTGTGTAATGATGATACATATGTACCGGTTTGTGTGATATGGGTAAGAGTAATACCACTGTCTAATGTTGATACATATGTACCGGTATGTGTGATACTTGTGAGTGTAATACCACTGTGTAATGATGATACATATGTACCGGTTTGTGTGATATGGGTAAGAGTAATACCACTGTGTAATGTTGATACATATGTTACGGTATGTGTGATACGTGTAAGTGTAATACCACTGTGTAATGGTGATAAATATGTACCGGTATGTGTGATACGTGTAAGAGTAATACCACTGTGTAATGATGATACATATGTACCGGTATGTGTGATATGTGTAAGTGTAATACCACTGTGTAATGATGATACATATGTACCGGTATGTGTGATATGTGTAAGTGTAATACCACTGTGTAATGGTGATACATATTTTCCGGTTTGTGTGATATGGGTAAGAGTAATACCACTGTGTAATGATGATACATATGTACCGGTATGTGTGATATGTGTTAGTGTAATACCACTGTGTAATGGTGATACATATGTCCCGGTATGTGTGATACGTGTAGAGTAATACCACTGTGTAATGGTGATACATATTTTCCGGTTTGTGTGATATGGGTAAGAGTAATACCACTGTGTAATGATGATGAATGTGTACCGGTTTGTGTGATATGTGTAAGAGTAATACCACTGTGTGATGGTGATACATGTGTACCGGTATGTGTGATATGTGTAAGAGCAATACCACTGTGTAATGTTGATACATATGTACCGGTATGTGTGATATGTGTAAGTGTAATACCACTGTGTAATGGTGATACATATTTTCCGGTTTGTGTGATATGGGTAAGAGTAATACCACTGTGTAATGATGATACATATGTTCCGGTATGTGTGATATGTGTAAGAGTAATACCACTGTGTGATGATGATACATATGTACCGGTATGTGTGATACCTGTAAGTGTAATACCACTGTGTGATGATGATACATATGTACCGGTATGTGTGATATGTGTAAGTGTAATACCACTGTGTAATGATGATACATATGTTCCGGTATGTGTGATATGTGTAAGAGTAATACCCCTGTGTAATGATGATGAATGTGTACCGGTTTGTGTGATATGTGTAAGAGTAATACCACTGTGTGATGATGATACATATGTACCGGTATGTGTGATATGTGTAAGTGTAATACCACTGTGTAATGATGATACATATGTACCGGTATGTGGGATATGTGTAAGAGTAATACCACTGTGTAATGTTGATACAGATGTACGGGTATGTGTGATACGTGTAAGTGTAATACCACTGTGTAATGATGATACATATGTACCGGTTTGTGTGATATGGGTAAGGGTAATACCACTGTGTAATGTTGATACATATGTACCGGTATGTGTGATACCTGTAAGTGTAATACCACTGTGTAAGGTTGATACATATGTACCGGTATGCGTGATACGTGTAAGAGTAATACCACTGTGTAATGATGATGAATGTGTACCGGTTTGTGTGATATGTGTAAGAGTAATACCACTCTGTAGTGGTGATACATATGTACCGGTATGTGTGATACGTGTAAGAGTAATACCACTGTGTGATGATGATACATATGTACTGGTATGTGTGATATGTGTAAGAGGAATACCACTGTGTAATGATGATACATATGTACCGGTTTGTGTGATATGGGTAAGAGTAATACCACTGTGTAATGATGATGAATGGGTACCGGTATGTGTGATATGTGTAAGAGTAATACCACTGTGTAGTGGTGATACATATGTACCGGTATGTGTGATACTTGTAAGAGTAATACCACTGTGTAATGGTGATACATATGTACCGGTATGTGTGATATGTGTAAGAGTAATACCACTGTGTAGTGGTGATACATATGTACCGGTATGTGTGATCCTTGTAAGAGTAATACCACTGTGTAATGGGGATACATATGTACCGGTATGTGTGATATGTTTAAGAGTAATACCACTGTGTGATGATGATACATATGTACTGGTATGTGTGATATGTGTAAGAGGAATACCACTGTGTAATGATGATACATATGTACCGGTATGTATGATATGTGTAAGAGTAATACCACTGTGTAATGGGGATACATATGTACCGGTATGTGTGATACGTGTAAGAGTAATACCACTGTGTAATGGGGATACATATGTACCGGTATGTGTGATACGTGTAAGTGTAATACCACTGTGTAATGGTGATACATATCTACCGGTATGTGTGATATGTGTAAGCGTAATACCACTGTGTAATGGTGATACATATCTACCGGTATGTGTGATATGTGTAAGCGTAATACCACTGTGTAATGGTGATACATATCTACCGGTATGTGTGATATGTGTAAGAGTAATACCACTCTGTAGTGGTGATACATATGTACCGGTATGTGTGATACGTGTAAGAGTAATACCACTGTGTGATGATGATACATATGTACTGGTATGTGTGATATGTGTAAGAGGAATACCACTGTGTAATGATGATACATATGTACCGGTATGTATGATATGTGTAAGAGTAATACCACTGTGTAATGGTGATACATATTTTCCGGTTTGTGTGATATGGGTAAGAGTAATACCAAGTGCACTTATCATGAGTTACCAGTATTCCATTTATGTGGTATTAACCAATTTACGAAAACCTATGTAACCAGTACTAGAATACCCTACTTTGCGACATTTTGGATGTGGTTAAATTTTGGTTTATTTGTTGTTTGGAGTGTATGAGCTAAAATTAAGCACACCAAAATTTCATAATGCAACATCTGGATATTGGCAGACCGTCTTTTAACTCATTTATTATGCATCAGTGACAAACTTCCATGCAGTATTTTCATGTAAGCAAAAATTAAAATCGCTTATTTTCAGTAATGAATTACACATTTCATAAATAACACGTCAGTAAAGGTATGTTTTCTTCTGGGGGTGTCGTAGCTTCTTTATATCCGTTTTGTATTAGGTGTGTTCAGGTGTATACAATTAAGTCACATTGTTATACAGTATATGTAGTGGTAAATAATTTTATAAACATGTTCTTTACAGCCAGGTGAAGCATAAAACAATGGGTCGTATATTTATGGAATCTGAAAACAACTTGTATTATAGTGACATGTTTTCAGTGAATACCTGTGTAAACAAAGGTTATAGATGATTGAGCAGTCATTTTACAACACTACGATTGTTACTGAATAGACTGATAGAGCGACTGCATACCTATAGGCATCGAAAGCACACAAATTTAGCACACAGGAACGTCAAGTCAAATGCAAAAATTTGATGCACAAAAATTGAAGCATCCCATTTTGATCTAAGAAAGCCAAATTTTGGTGAGGCCAAAATATCCCAAAGAATGGTACCATGGTACATACCTGTGGTTCTGTAACAGTACCATGGTACATACCTGTGGTTCTGTAACAGTACCATGGTACTTACCTGTGGTTCTGTAACAGTACCATGGTACATACCTGTGGTTCTGTAACAGTACCATGGTAC